ACCTTATTCCACGCCAACAACGACATATCTAATGCCCCAAGTAGGAAAAACTATGACTCTCATTGGTAAATCGAGGCCACCCTGCACACCCCCGTCGACGGAGCCGACGATCTTCCAACGGAGGAGAACCCTAGATCACCTTTGGGCGGAGTTTTATCCCGTACGTGAGGAGGTACCTTTTGGTATAAGTGTGGCTTAAACCTTGACTTTGTAGGCGAGTACACTATGTATCTTAACCTCACTTGAAAGATAAACCAACACTATTAAAAACTAAAACATCAACCACCACTAGCTCGTTTATGTGAAAGAAGAACCACATTGTCTAGTACACCATGCATCTTAACCTCATCTAAAACATAAACCAATACTCAATAACAAAATTTGCGATACCCTGTATCTTAGCCTCACCTGAAACATAAACCAACACTAAAGAAATTGAAAAATGAACCACCACTAGCTCAGTTATATGTCAAAAAAGAATGATTGTGTTTAAAAAAGGTTCTGCATTCAACCAATTAGGAAAAAAGGACCACATTATTGTTCGGGATATTACAAAATGACATGAATGGGCACTAGCACCCAGGACATAATTTTATAAAAGAAGCCCACTGGGATGAGAAACCAAAATTCGCTCTTGACAAGATTCATACTCTGGCCGCAGGGTGAACCACTGTGATCATTTGCCACTAGGCTACAACCTAGTTCTCATTGTTCAAGATATTGAACCCGCCAACACAAACTTAAAAAAAAATAGACCAACACTGAGAAATGAACCACCACTAGCTTAGTTATATGTCAAAAAGGAACCGTTATGTTAAAAACAAAGAAAAAGGAACCGTTATGTTATAAAAAAGGGTTATTGCATTCAACCAACTAGGAAAAAGTGACTGGATTATTGTTAATGTTATTGCATTCAACCAACTAGGAAAATATGACTGGATGGTTAGAAGGATAGTGATATTCTCAGCCCGTCAGAGTTCAATTCTTAGGCTTGACCATAGTGCTCGTATTTTCTTGGATTTATTTCAGACCTTCTGACGATGTGTGTTTAGTGGAAGAAGACATTCCCGTCGACTACGAAGCCGTCTGTGTCGACTACATCAATCTCAAGATAATATGCCGGCTCAGTCTCTCGGAGATGCTCATAAGGATAGGATGTGCGTGTCTACATTTATAGGGACGAGTGTATGTGTGTAGTGTATGTATGAGCATCTACGTCTGTATTATTTCAAAAAAAAAACTGAAACATCAGGCACCATTACTAGTTCATTATATTTTGGGACGAAGGTAGTACCATCCTTAGCTCAATTATGCAAGAAAAAGAACCGCGTTGTTAAGTATACACCCTTTATCTTAGCCTCACCTGAAACATAAACCAACACGAACTTAAAAAAACACCAACACAAAAAAAAAAGAAAAGTGAACCACCACTAGCTCAATTGTATGTCAAAAAAGAACCATTGTGTTAAAAAAAAGGTTATTGCATTCAACCAATTAGAAAAAAGGACCAAATTGTTGTTCGGGATATTAAAAAATGAGATCCATGTGCACTGGCACCTAGAACATAAGTTTATAGAAGAAGCCCACCGGGGTAAGAAACCAAAAATTCACTCTCAACGTGATTTGAACTCTGGCCACAGGGTGCACCACTGTGACCCTTTGCCACTAGGCTATAGCCTAGTTCTCATTGTTCAATATATTGAACAAACCAACACAAATTTCAAAATAAATAAATGAACCAACACTTAAAATACTGAAAAATGAACCACCACTAGCTCACTTATGTGTCAAAAAAAGAATCATTGTGTTAAAAAACATGTTGTCAAGTACACCCTGTATCTTAGCCTCACCTGAAACATAAATCAACACTAAAGAAATTGAAAAATGAACCACCACTAGCTCAGTTATATGTCAAAAAAGAATTGTTGTGTTTAAAAAAAGTTCTGCATTCAACCAATTAGGAAAAAGGACCACATTATTGTTCGGGATATTACAAAATGACATGAATGGGCACTAGCACCCAGGACTTAATTTTATAAAAGAAGCCCACTGGGATGAGAAACCAAAATCGCTCTTGACAAGATTCATACTCTGGCCGCAGGGTGAACCACTGTGATCCTTTGCCACTAGGCTACAACCTAGTTCTCATTGTTCAAGATATTGAACCCGCCAACACAAACTTCAAAAAAAAATAGACCAACACTGAGAAATGAACCACCACTAGCTTAGTTATATGTCAAAAAGGAACCGTTATGTTAAAAAAAGAAAGAAAAGGGAACCGTTATGTTATAAAAAAGGGTTATTGCATTCAACCAACTAGGAAAAAGTGACTGGATTATTGTTAATGTTATTGCATTCAACCAACTAGGAAAATATGACCGGATTATTGTTTGGGATATTGAACCCGACGTGAATCAAACACACAACCTTCTGATCTGGAGTCAGACGCGCTACCATTGCGCCACGGATCCGGTATGTACGTGCACGTAAGTTGCCTTTGATATTGAAGAATCTGAAGGGTCTCGTCCTCTTTTCTCCATTAACATTCCGCAGCTGGAATGACCGCCGCGTAATGAAGTTCTATTCCATTCCATGTTCTCACACCACGAGCAACAACCGTCGCTCTTATTGGAGCTTTGATGTTCCAGAGTAGTACAGTATATTTTTCATGCATGAGCGGCAGATTCGAGGCTTACAATAGTGCAGAGCAACATAAGATTTCAGAGCGAGAGCAAAAGTGTCCAGGTTACAGATGGACGAGGGATGACATTGAAGCCCACCTTGCCTTTCAGTGAGCCCCATTTTACTGAAGAGCAGACAATGACTGCCTCCTCATTCATTTCCTCCGTTGTGGTGTTGCTCCAGAAACTAGCTCAAGTTTTCCGCAAAAAAAAAAGAAAAAAGAAAAAAGAAGCAAGTAGTGCAGATTTCAATACAGACTGAAGCGGCAACAAGTTTCAGACTTGGCACTCTCCTGCTCAGCTGGTTCCAACCCAGTAAGTCTCAGGCTTTCAGTTCATAGCCCCCTTCCCATGTAATGGATGGATGGAATTAGGTTGCGTTTGTGTGATACGAATTGTTTTGGTTATCTGGGAAGAGCCTATTCGCTCATCCAGAAGCTCTTATCCCACGAACTCAACCTAATTCCACCCATCAGACCCACGATGCACATGAAACAAGTGTCACCACCGTGTCAGACGCGCACCAGAAAGAACTTGGCAGCGTCAGACACGTCGGCGTGGTAGCAGCCGGTCCATGCATGCAGCTTACATGCGCGCCATTAAACTGCGCAAGAGAGCAGCTCGCAGCTGCATTGAGAGCATCTCTAACAGGCGCCGAACGCGCCCGCGCCCAAAAAACTAGTTTGCCGCGCGCTCATTATTTGGTTTGGCGCGGCGTGCAGCACTGGCTCCAGCAGTTGCGCTAAAATATAGTGCGCGCGCGTCGCTCCAGCAGCGCGCAAAAAATGCAGCGCACGTGCTCACAATATTTTTTTTTATTTTAGATAAATCGGAAGCATAGATAAATAAAAACTAGATAGATTGTATAAATAAAAAATGATACAAAGATATTTTACATCGGTGCAACTAGATAGATAGTTCGAAAGCATAGATAAAACTACGGTGCAACTAGATAGAAACTACTCCAAGTCGCTACCATCATCACCATCATCATCCTCGTCGGTGTCGTCCGAGGTATCGAGCCATATGTCCAACCAACGATCATCGTCTTCCGTGAAGAACGACCTCCCACCTGCTGCAACGATATCCGACTGCGCATTCGCCAATGCCTTCCGCCGACGCCTGTCCAACCGCTCCTTGCGGCGCCTTCGCGTGTCCTCCTCGCGGCGCCTTGCCCAGTAGACTTGCTCGTAGGCGACGTCCTCTGGATGGCGCCGGCGCCACTCCGCCATGACCCGCTCGTCCTCCTGGACGACGAGGAGGCGGCGCTGCCGCTCAGCGTGCTCCACACGGTCTTGTGCCGTGTTAAGACGAGGCGGCGGGGCGACGTCCAGCGCCTGCTGGAGCGTGTAGACGTCCTGGAAATTCATCTGCCCGCGCGGCCTGCCTAGGCGCGCGCTGTCCCGTAGGTGCCGAGGCCGAGCCGGAGATCGCCGGAGCATATCTCGGAGTAGTCCCGCCGTTGGGGCGCAGGCGGACGCTGCGGTAGCCTGACGCTCCTCGGCGGCGTGGCGGCATGGTGACGTGTCGGTAGCGGGGCGCTGGAGCGATGGAGGCGTGCGTGGCAGAGGAAGAGAAAGAGGAGTCGTGGAAAAGGCGTGTGGCGAGCGCCGCATTTTATAGTCGCGCCGGAAACCGTCCGTGAATATTGCGAGGTGTGCCCGCCATGCAAGGCACAGGGCACGGGTGACCGCGACAACCCTCGAGGCGGAGGCTGTGAAGGTGGAGTCGCACGCTGCCGCATGACGCCACAATCCAAGGGTGGCGGCGCCGGGCTCCAGCCACGAGGCCGACCCGTCCATGTCCATCGTGGACCTCACCTCCACCGTCAACGTCTAGGCCACGAGCTCCGGCGAGGAAGAGTAGGGCATGAGAGACGGCGGTGCCTCATGTGGGACAATCCGTTTCCCATGTTGTACTCTACCTCGTCGGCGATCGGACCTTCACTTCGCGGGTATAACGGCCGCCAGACAGGGACACGGAGGAAACGATAAGGATGGCCGCCGGCGAGGATTTAGGTTTTACGTTGCTTGTAATTGTATAAATCTGATGACAAATAAGATACGTGGCTGTGACATCAAACATTTGAGTGTTGATCGGTCACTGTCCGTGTGTGTCTGCGGAATTTTGGCGGTCGGATTTAGCTATGCCCGGTTGTAGATGCTCTTAGCTAGTACCAGACCATATTGTCCTCTTTCAACAAAGGTAAGTTTGAATTTCCACGGTCGATTTGCATTGAAAATCTTATAAACTTTTTAAAGGAGGTGTACGGTGTACCAAGAAGTCATCCTTAATCTATTGCATGGTGAATTCAAAACTTCAACGTGGATCCTCGTCAACCGATGGCTCAGCGATGCGTGGATTGTGCTGGTATACATACTTCTTCGCCCAATAAAGGTAGTTCAAGAAGCCGAGCAACCCGACAACAGCCACAACCCAGTAGAAGAGGTCAAGACGGCTGCTGTTCAAGCTTTTCCCCTCGAGCCAGCCTCCCTGCTGCCCGTGCCTCGTGGCCCTGTTCACGATTTCCACCAGGAATGTGGCCATCAACGACGCGAGCCCGAGCTCGCACCAGAACAACGCCGTGGCAATCGACTTCATGCCCCGTGGCGCCTCGCTGTTGAAGAACTCCAGGAGCCCGGTGAACGATGTCACGTCTGCCACCCCAAGCAGGAAGAACTGAGGCGCGAGCCAGAACAGGGACATCTGCACTACCGCCTCCTTCCTTTTTCTCTCGACGACGGCTGCGATGACCGCGGCGAGTATCATGGAGGCGAAGCCTATGGCGATGCGCTGCAGATGAGTGATGCCGCCGACGTAGCCCGTGCGCTTTCGCAGGAACGGCACGATGAACTGGTCGTAGACGGCCAGCATTATCAGCTGGAATGTGATGGGGATGATGAAGAGCGTCGCAGGGGAGACGTGGATCTTGCCCAGACTTGTGTTGGTCATGCCACCTTGCTGCACCGTGAACGTGAAGACGATCGTGTTGGATACGTACGCGGTCATGGAGCTGAAGAAGAGAGGGAGCACGCGGAGCACAATCTTCGTCTCCTCCACCTTCGTCGCACTGCAAACTGACCAGTCCCCGTCTTTGCCGTGGTGAATGCAAGCTTTGTCGAGGAACCTATCGAGATGAATGAAAGAGTTTGTAATAGGGAATACAACTAACCATCTCTAGTATGTAATCTCTATGACATGTAGCCTGCTAAGAAAATGGTACTATTATTTCACCGAATCTTACTTCAGACTTTTTCTTTGAGATGGCACTTCGACAAACCCTGTCCCGGTCCCAGTACGACTATCCTCTGCTTCTTCCAGCTTCTGAGGAAGTTCAAGCTTCCTGTTCCTTAATGCAACCACAAGAACCTGGAGAAGTTAACTTTTTGTGAGAATTGACAGGGCATCTTATATTTGAAGTCAGGAAGTACGTAGCAGTAGCACAACCTGCAGCATTCGAGTAAGAGGGCTTCCTTCCGGCACTTGGTTGCGGTAGAAAGGGAGACCGGCAGCAACAACGAGCAGTCCAAACAGAACCAGGATGGCGCAGGCCCCAAGTCCGACGTCCCACCCCTTGTAGTTCTGGAGCCACACTATGAGGATCAGCCCTATAAAGCCTCCAAGGGAGATCCCGAAGGTGTACCAGTTGAAGAAGCTGGACTGCTGGCGGGACTCGGAAGGATCTTTACGGTCAAACTGGTCTGCTCCGAGGGATGGTAAGCATGTACGTATACAGCCATCGCCAAATGCACTGATGTACAAGGCTGCGTACAACAAGGTGGCATTCCGGCCATGGACCTCTTTGCAGTTACTTAGGTCTGCTTCAATGTTGCAAGGCGCAGGATGGAGCGAGGGTAGGTATGCTTGTAGGGTGAGCAACCCATAGCCCTGCGCACATACGCAAATGTTAATTATACTGTAATAAACTAATGGCTAATATCATATATTCCCTCCGTTCCTAAATGTAAGTCTTTATAGAGATTCCACTATAAACCGCATACGGATGTATATAGATGCATTTTAAGTTTAGATTCATTTATTTTGCTCTGTATGTAGTCCACCTAGTAGAATCTCTACAAAGACTTATATTTAGGAACGGAGGGAGTATGATGCAATGCGAGACTTTTAACAGCAGACGTGTTCAACTCCAATGTAAGTGGATTTTATGGTCAAAGGATATGCCAGAGTAGGTACCTATCAGTGTCAGATATTGAACTGTATTAAATCAAAGTTAGAAGCATATCGTTGTCAGAGTCAAACTTAGACATGAAAAGTCTTAATAGCATATCGCTATTAAGACATGACAAGTTAAGTTAAAGTTAGCAGCATATGGCTGTTCAAGGTTTTTAATTTCCTTTTTTCGCGATAAAATATCACTGTTCTAGATAGGTACTTCCAGAAGTCCATCCTCAACAAACAATGCTTTTTAAAATAATTCAAATCCAAAATCGTCTTATATGTACGTATCACAGTTGAATTTTAGATTTGGAGAAGTACTTCAGACAGAGACACATACATTCAACCTTTCAGACAGAGAATCAAAAAATTTCTTTTTCTTTTCTTTTTGCAGTGACCTGTGATATTAGGTTTTCTTATTCAGTTCTTTATTTCATTGAGCCGTTCGTCTTCCTCTATTGTTGGCAGGTTCTCATTTTAGTAGATGACATGCGAATATGTAAATAAAATAAGAATATTTTCCTTGCATAATAATAGGAATCCAATAGACAGTTGACAGGCAAGCAGGCATATTACCAGAAACATCAATGGGCCAAAGATGAGTATAGTTCTGGAGCGCATGATGTAAGAGTCTGAGAGGAAAGCTCCTACTAATGCAAACCCGCATGTAGCACCAACAAGATTGGTGACAGTAGTTGCAGAGCCAGAGACGCCCATATGCATTGTTCCATGGAGATAGGTAACCAGATTCAGCAGGTTTGGGACAATAACCATGTTCATTACCACGTTTGCAACTGCAAGGAGAAACAAGGAGCAAAATTGCTTAAAACTTTCGAACTTGGAGCAGAAGCTTGAAAGTTAAGGGAAACTGGGTTATCTGCAAAATGAGAACTTACCATACATGAACCATGCTGCTCTGACCCCTCCATGCACCTCTCTGTCGATGGGGTTTCCCCTCCGGTCCACAGAGCCCCCAATCGTCATGGTGCTTCTTCTTCTTCTTGATTTGCTGACTTATTCCAGTTGCAACCCGAACATTCAGGGGTATAAATAAGCAGGTGGATATTCATGTTCAATGGAGTGATGACAGCAACTTGATCAATCAAAGCCTTTTTGCCAATTTTAGGCCATTGTTTATTATTGCAAGTACCAGTAGTTATGACCACAATTGTTAATACTTCTAGCTGACTGAATTTCAGGCATTTCGACAGGCCTTCTAATATTAAGAAAATAATGAAACAGGGATAAGTACAATGAACGAGTATAGAAGTCAACAAATATAGCAGGTATTGCCATCAGCGTAGATCATTTTGAGAGTGAAAGTTTGTCAGTTAGCTCTTACTTCATTAATCGTGTAGAGCAACAGTCTTTTGATAAGATACTTCCTCAGAATTAGTGCATCTTAAGTTTAAGAACAGAAAACTCGGAAGTGCAACAAAAACAAGGCATCAACCAGTGCTCAAGAGATATTGGTTCATAAGCTGAAAACAATAAGTTGTAATTGTCAATCATGAACTAACAGAGTTAACAGATTAGCTCTTTTAAGAACGAAGATGCAAGGAGCATCCGGCTTTAAATTAATAAAGCCCACAAACCAGACAAAGTAACAAGGGTCTTAACGAATAAATGAGAGAAACAAAGTTTTAATGGTGGGGTACATGGCCAGCAAGCCAAAATAAAGAGCACACATGCTCGAAAGAACATCCAAAAGTGAGACCGCTGCCTTAGCCAACATCCTGGGGGGATCGTGCAATGTTATGGATGTGGGGAAGCTTGTCCACCACTTGCGGCATGACTTTAGCATCCCGACACTTCCCCAATGAAGTCCACTGCTGTAAGAAGAGAATGCATTTGAAAATACAGCCAGCCGGGTGGTTACGGAAGTGCCATAAGGCCAACAACAGTGCCCCAACACAATGCCATAGGACACGCTTGTCTGATCCACTCTGAGAAGAGAGGATTCAAAGCAAATCAGCTCCCGAAGCAGGATTCCACGTGGTGCGAGTGGCTCCCCTAACCACGCTCCACACAAAACAAGCTAAAGGATGGTGAAATAATACATGATTGGAATCTTCGGGGATCGCACATACCGTGCAGTCCCCGTTAGAGGGTTCGTTTAGAGGTTTCAATAGAGGTCGGAAGACGGTTTTGAAACATTTCCAATAAGAAGATCTTAACTTTAAGTGGCAATCTAGCCTTCCATAACCCTCTATCTATGTCAAGCGTCACGCTTGCTTAAGTTTAACATAAAGCAACTTAACGGAGAATTGGTGCGAGGCGGTGAGGTGCCACGACACCGTGTCTGCATCGAGATTTTTCACAGCATGACCTAATTCATCTAGTACTTTCGATAAGTAGGATATAATTTTCTCATTTTGATAGAGGCATCTACTAATGTTCTTATTATAGCCCTCTTGATGATGCTTAAATCTATCCAGTGCTTCGAAAATTCACCTTCCTATTGGTAAAGAGTAAAAAGTCTACACTTTCAGTCTTAAGTTGTTCTATAGGCTTACCATTTTCTTTTATTACGTTTCTGAATTCTTCCATATTTTTGATGTGGTAAAAATTTCTATCAGTGAATTCAGTAGGTTCTTCCTTGTTCCATTATTCTTTTTTAGAACGAAGACGCCAGATGCGTCCGGCTTTAACTTAATAAAGCCCAAAACAGGCAGCGTAGCATGACAGAAGACTTGGAACATCACCAAAAGCCAGACCGGCCCTAGCTAGGATGAAAACACTGAAGTTCACGCGGAAGTTTAAACGAGCCAATAAACAGATTACAAGGCAAAGCCCGTACAGAGCGTGCAGACTCGTCAATCCGCAAAAGGGACCACGTCCTAGACCGTGGTCGAAGGCTCCCTAGCCAGCACATACACTTGCAGCAGACGGTCTTGGGCAGTCTTGATCAGCTCAACATCCTTGCGCCTCCCTAACGGACTCCACTATTGCACGAAGAGATTGCATTTGTAGATAATATTAGCCCGATGTGAAGGAAAACATCCCTCGATGGTAAGCTTATTTCTAGTTAGCCACAAAGCCCAGAGTAGTTCCCCTACACAACTCCATATAGCTCGCTTAGCAGGTCCCTGGATCGCATCTAATAACTGAGTTAGCTCGGCAGACGATCGCGGGTCCCATTGGACATCCGTCGCGGACCGGACTGCACTCCACGCAAACCTAGCCAGCAGGCATCGAAAGAACACATGATTGGTGTCCTCGGGTGCCCCGCATAATGCACACGGGCCATTGGCCGGTCCATTACGCTTGGCTATGTTCAAGGAAGTGGGGAGTTTATCGCGGAACATTTGCCAGAGAAAAAGTTTGATTTTCAGAGGCATTCTCGCTCTCCATAGCCCCTTAACCACAAGTTGCACCGGCCCTTGGCACAACTTGAGGTACAACGACTTAACCGTGAACTTACCCGAGCTAGTGAGCGCCTAGCTCACTGTGTCGGGTTGGTACGATAGGCCTATTGGGCCGATCAACTGCAGCATGTCGGCAAGCCCAGCTTGTTCTACCCCACTAAGTTCACGTTTAAAGTGAATCACCGGAGGGGATGACGACATCACCTTGGCCACCGACATAGCCGGGTCTATAGCAATCGCATAGAGATCCCGATAGGTAGCCCACAAGGGTTGTGCGCCTACCCAATGATCGGTCCAAAAGCGCGCAGCGCAGCCGTTCCCAATTGAGAACTTTGCCCCCATGGCAAAGGCCGGTTTGATCGCCTGCAGATCATTCCATAAGGGGGATCCCCTTGTCCTCCCTTCGAAGAAGTTTCCATTAGGGAAATATTTGGCCCTAAGGAGATCGACCCACAACCCGGATGCCCCCTGGACAATTTTCCAGATCCATTTGCACATCAACGCAATATTGAGGATCCTCGTGTTGGTGATCCCAAGACCCCCAAGGCCTTGGGACGACACACCCACGCCCACCTAACCATATGGTATTTATGGTTCAGGCTCGTTCCTTCCCAAAAGAACTTAGTGTGGGGTGTATCCATTTTCGCGTTAATCCCTTCCGCGAGTAGGAACAGGCCCATAGCAAACATGGGCAAGGAGGAGAGGCTCGAGTTTGTGAGGACTAGCCTAGCTACTTTTGAAAGAAAATTTCCCCTGCATGGGCAAACCTTCCCCCTTACCTTGGCACACAAAGGCTCCCAATCCTCTATCGTGGGGCGCTTAGTGTCCACCGGAAGGCCTAGGTACGTGAACGGAAACTTTCCCACCTTGCAGTTGAGCAAGTCAGCGATGCGATGCCTCTCCTCCAGCTCTACCCCCATAGAGAGCACCTCAAACTTATGGAAGTTGATTTTGAGGCCCGACATGAGCTCAAAAATGAGCAGAATCGCCTTGACCGTAGCAATGCTATGGTGGTCCGGGCGAAACAGCAGTAGCGTGGCATCCACGTACTGCAAATGCGTAACTCCCCCTGGAATTAGCTGGCCTACCACTCCCTTGATATGGCCAGCCTCGGCCGCCTTCCGGAGCATGGCGGACAACGTATCGACAACAAAGTTGAACAACAGCGGGGACATGGGGTCACCCTGCCTGAGTCCCCGCTTGTTCCGGAAGAAGTGCCCTACTTCTCCGTTCACCGAGACTGCAGTTTGGCCTCCCGAGACCAACAACATAATGCGGTGTACCCAAACCGCAGAAAACCCCGACTAATTAGAACCTGACGCAGTAAATCCCAATTAACTCGGTCGTACGCCCTCTCGAAGTCCAGTTTCAGCAAAATGGCCTGTTCCCTCGTGCGTTTAAGTTCATGCACAATCTCCTGTAGGGCAAGCGGTCCCTCCAGGATGTTACGGCCGTGAATGAACGCGGACTGGTTGCGATGTATCGAGCGATGGGCAATCGGCCCAAGACGAGTGGCACACGCTTTAGCACATATCTTAAACGTGACGTTGATGAGCACGATAGGGTGGAAAAGCCAAATGCTGTCGGCCCCTGGAACCTTCTGAATGAGCGATAATACACCAAAATTAAGACGAGCTATATCTATCGTACCGCGCATAAAACCATTACAGGTCTCAAAGATTGGCCCTCTAAGAATTGGCCAAAAGCGTTTGAACATAGCCACCGGCCACCCGTTCGGTCCCGGAGGCGAGAGGGGCTAGGGGAGAGGGCCATCGGGGAACGGCCACCGACCGCGCCCGCGATCACAGCTGGGGCCAGGCACAAGGGCGGGGATGACACCGAGCCCAAGTTGGAGCCGTACTGGTTGGGGATCGAGAGCGCCACCCCAACCGAGCCCAACTCCTCAACCACCCGAGGCGCCGTCGCCCCTTCCACCGGTGCAGCAGGTCCCTGGCCAGAAATCCCGAGCTTGTCCCATGCCACAGTGTCGATCGAGTCATCATCCTCCATGCTTCCGTCTTGGTCATGTTGCTTGTCCTTGAACTTGTCCTTGTCATTGCCGTCCGGTCCCCTACCGTTGGAAGGAGGAGGAGGGGGAGGAAGGGCTGGGGCCGCCTGGCGGGGGCGGTCCAACTCTGGCTCAAGCTATTGTTTGAATGGGGCATTCTCCCTCTTCTATTGTCGAGGACTTGTATATTCCACGTGAACTATTATCACGAACGGATTTAGACTCGTCATTTAGTCCGTTATAAAATATGTGTAGTATAACATGTTCAGCAAAGCCATGGTTTGGAAAAAGATCTATCAATTTAAAGAATATTCCCCAAGCTTTAGTGAAATGCGCAAAAGCTAAAATACTGTCTCAGAGTTCATTCATTTTGGAATAAGGGAAAATTTTCTGCATTAATCTATCAATGCAATTCTTCCAACTGGTTATGGCATTACGTGAAAGTCTGTCAAACCATTCTTTAGCTTTATCTTTTAAAGACCACACGAAAGGTTTCAAAAAGGACAAATTCTCTAGACACATCTTTTAGTTTAGATGTACCACAAATGGCATCATAAGTCATTACATGTGCGCAAGGGTCTCATCAATGTATCCTACAAAAGCTTTAT